ACTATTAAACATAGCAATTAAGGCAGTGCATTAACGGTAAACAACGCTCAACTATGAACACTGTCCAAGGTGCACCAAGCAAGAAATAACCAAGCAGAAGGGGCACCGTGACTGTTCTCACCTTGTCTGCCACCATGACAGGAGACAAAAACAATCAAAGAGCAATGAGCATGCTCTGTGTTCTTACGTTGTTGTTTTATTTATTCGCCAATTAAATATATATATATTATTTATGAAATGAAATAATAGCTACTGCAGTGTACCAGAGCATTACAAGAACAAAAGAATGGCTCTCAGTGAAGCTTCAGTCCTATAGGACTTAGTAAAGATACGTCCAAAAGAATTGGATCGTTCGTGAGTGTCACTACATAGCAGACTTTGGTCACAGCATTGTCCGATATACACAACATGTCAGTCAACACCTCCACACAATAATTCAGCACATGAGTGACAACTTTTTTTCATCGCAGATGCAACATATGTGTCTCTGTACAGCTAGCTTTGCTGACAACACATCAGTAACGCCATAAGTTGGACGAAGCGCTGCTTATTTTACATCTCGCCATATCTTATGATTTATGTAGAGGAATTATATTACTGACGATTAGACAGACATCTTCCCCCGCTCAAAGAAAACCACTGCGCATGTCTTGGAGCTCCGCATGCGAGTAAAGGGGGAGGCGATGGGTGACAACAGACACGCATAAGTCACGTTATTGCTTGGATTTTATGGCGCCACCTTAAGTCCCTGAAAACATTTTAATGGAAAAAAAGTGCAACGCAATTTGGATGTAACGAGTAACGCAACAGTTTTGTAGAAACTGAAGTAGAAAGTACAGATACTTACTGTAAAATGTAGTGGAGTAAAAGTAGAAAGTATTCATTATTAAATCTACTTAAGTAAAGCACACATACACAAAAAATGTACTTAAGTACAGTAACGAAGTAGTTGTACTTCGTTACTTCACACCACTGCGGATTTTAAAAGCCATCAAAGCAAATAGAAAACGCGGTGTTCAAATTATTATTTTTCTTATTAAACAACACTCCCCAAACCAACCTTAAAATAGAATTTTTGTTAAATCCTGATTTAGCAGCTTTAATCACATTTTTTGGTTTCACATCAACAAACAGCAATCTGGCTTTTTTCTGTGGCTGTTGGACTGATGGCTTCTTCCTGGTTCAGGGGCTTTTTATGACATGGGCTGAGTCAACTGTGGGACCCCCCACTGTCCCCTCCTCTGGACTGGAAGCTATTTTGTTATTACTTTTTTTTTTTTTTTTTTTTTTTCCCCCCCCCCCAAAAAAAAAAAAAAAAATTTTTTTATTTTTTTTTTTTAAAAAAAAAAAA